GACATATTTATGGAAGAAAAATATTTGTATTATTCCTTCGTTTTCTTTTTTCTTTTTTAATAATTCATCGAGAGGAAAGAGATGAAAGATTATTGTAATTTCCGCTCTAATCTATAATGTATATTTACATTGGTTAGAAAACGTTATTTCCTATTTCTTCCATCTCATCTCGAAGAACAAGAGTGAATAATAAGTTAACTGTGTGTTATCGTTCCTCTTTGTTCTTTATTTCTCTTCACAATATTGCTGCTTATGTACTCAGCGATATAAGTAGTACGTGAGGAAGTGAAAGAGAGACATCATCATTATCATTTCGTTGGTTGTTGAAGAGGATGTGTATATGACTAGAATAAACTTATATCCTAACTTTTGACAGTGTTTGATGTTTTATTAATCATTACAGATAGATATTTGTTCTTATTCTGTTTCTCATTTTTAGCGTTTAGTAATTCACCATATCCATTAAACTATAATTTTGTAATGTCTTGTTTGAGTACTCAGGTCAGTTATTTAAATAAATTATATGAGCGTCTATAGTAGATATGTTGTATAGATGAGAATACATAATCAAAGATGGAATAAATTGATTAAAAAAAATATGAAACGGAAAATATTTGAATAATACTGTTGAATTTTGAACAATATATTTCGAATGCATTGTTATAAAATCATGATATATAACTATATAAATACAAAACAAAGTTTTTCTTGGTTCGAAATGAATGTAAGTATTTTAAATATCAGAATTTACTAAATACTCATTTTTTGTGTCACACAGAGAGGTTAAGATGCTACTTACTTAACATACTAAAATCATACAAAATAAGAACTAATACATAAAAAAAATTGAATTTTTCAAACTTATACAACAGTTTATTTATTATAACAAAGGAAAAAACAAAAAAAAATTGTGTGGAGGAACAAAAGATTCGTTGACGATCAGACGTTGTACTTGTAAACAGTTGAGTTGTGTTTGATCGTTTGTAAAATTGTTCGTCAATGTAGTTAGTTGTTCATAGTCAATTTCAAGTTGACAAAGACGAGGTAGATGTGTATATCGATTGAATAACAATTGTTCAATATAATCGATATGTGCAAATGACACCCGAAGTCTCAGTAATCGAAGAATTTATTCATATAGTATATTTTAAGTCGTTGTACAGTGACCTCTTCTTGTACATTCAATTAAAGTTTTTCAGAATAGTGTAGAGTTCAGTCGTAAACGATAGAACCTATGGATAGATAGTAGGAATGAGCAGTAAAACTAAAAATTTCTTAACTTTTTAGAGACTATTATATTGAACACGATTGACTGAAACAGTCATAGTACTACATACTGAATTGATTTGGTGAATCATATAATGATCATAAGCAGCCATTACTCTTAAAAAGAAGAAAGAATGGATGTATGTATTCATTATTCTTTGTACGCATCGCTCCTGAATGATGAAGAAGTTTGGTAATTATTATTGTTAGAAAACCATCGTTATCAAACTAAACTTTTGTATCTTTTTCTCAATGTATCACTACCGTCTTATTTTAGATGGTTGTTATTACGCGATTGAAAAGTATTGCTCTCACGGCAATAGCTGCATCTTCGATCATGACTTGTATTTTTCGACACGAAAATTTAAGAAAATTGCCACTGGCGTTTCGATGATTAATGCCGTGTTGACATGGCTTAATTTGCATAATTTTTTTTGGTGTGTTTGGTTCTTGATTTTGTAAGATTAAAATGACGCCTGGACATGCGAGGCGACTTACATTCATTGCCATGTTTTCAATGATCAAGTGTTCAGGTCGTAAACAGTTTTTCACGTCACACAAGTGAGAAGCTATTAATGAAAAAATGTTATGAAATTATTGAGTTCGAATTTTTTTTACCTGTGTTGCCGCCATCCTTCGTTGTAAATTTTGACAACTTCTTCTTTAATTTGCATCGAAGGACCACATGATGACTCCGTACCGAAATTAATCTAATATGATTAGATGTGCAGAACATGTTTAATTTTGGCTGCAGAAATTCTAATTTTAAATCATGATTTAATATTGTGTCGTTATATGCAGGTGTTGTTGTTTCAGCAGAGGCGGCAGTGACATAGCACGAAAGCCAATCTTTAAAAAAATCTCCTATTAAAAATAAAATTTTATACAATGAAGTGATCATAAAATCACTTACCATCTTCAGGTGTTACACTGACGAGTTCAGCGAGTTCGTCAATATTAATATCATCATCGAGATTCTTCGATATAATTTTAAAATCGCAGCTATTTTTCGCGTAAATAAAACGTTTTAAACTAGTCGCGGTAGATTTTGACAGATTGTTGATAAATTCAACGCCATACGATAATTCCCGACCTTCCGAAGACGGCGATGGTTCGGAAGAAGTGTGTATTTCAGACGGTAACTGTTCGAGAAGATTTCTTTTTTTCTGTCTCGTCTCACAGGCCCGAAACACAGAAAATTTTCTCTAAAAAATTGAAAATTATAGTTTATAGTTTTCACAAGAAATTTACGAACTTTTAATATTTTTAAAGAACATTTTGTTCTTTCAATCAGCTCTTCAAACTGATCCTCAGTTGGATGAGGCGTGTGCAAAAAATAAGACCGTAAATGAGTCCTGCCAACTAAAGTGAGTTGTTGAGTTTTAACATCAAATAATGACGAAGAAGTAATAGGCATAGCCATTGCAACAAAGAAATACGCGCGTTCGACAATCGATAAATTATAACAACATCCCAATAATAAACGAGCGATATGAAACAAAACAAATCAGAACACAATCTCTATATAAAAGTTCAAACAATGAACTATCAGTAGCTCAGACGTCCGCGCCGTCTAATTTCAAACAAAATTTAATCATTTTCCAATCACTCGACCAAAATGAACAAACTCAATCAAAACAAACAGACGGCCACACACACCACAATCAAATTTCGTTCAGCATCAATCCGCTACACTAGATTTCGATCAAACACAACCAGCTGTTGTTAATTTCGATAATCATCGATGTGCTGCTTTGTGTTTCGTTCAAAAATAATGCGCTGTTGTTAATTTCGTTCATAATCAATGTGCTGCACTTCAATTTGATTAAAAGTAATGCGCAGCAACTGATTTCCATCGATATCCATGTGCAGCAGCAGATTTCAATATAAAATCATGTGCTGCTGATTTCAATATCAAATCATCTGGAGACGCTGTTTCAAAATTATAATCGTCTGGAGCAGCTGTTTTGAAATTACACTCATCTGCACCATCTCATTCAGAATTACCATCATCTGGAGGTGCCGATTCGAGATTGATTTTCTTCTACTGTCTCAATCAATATATGATGTTTCGATATACACCCTGTGATGTCACATAGATGTGATCCTACAACAAACAAAAAGTATTTACGAGACTGGCGTGAAAAGAAAACAAACATACCTTGCATTGACCCGCTGAACGTCGAAAATAACGGTAAGGATTCCTCCGTCATCGATCGTAAAACTAAGTGATGAATATAAACAAAGAACGATTTCGATGAGCAGAGTGCTGATAATTTCGCTGTTATTGACGGCCATATTAAAAGATTTTTATGGACCTCCAAATGTGTATGAATCGCTGGCGGAACGAGAAGAAGGTCTTCTCTAATTAAACACTGCATCCATTCAATAAAATATGCACCTAAAAGAAAATAATATTACGTGTTTCGAAATAAATAAAAAAAACTTACCATTGAATGGTCCAATGCTTGTTGCTGACTTCAGTTCCTTCATCGTCGGAACAGATGAAATGTGACGCCAATTCACTAATTTTTCATATGGACCCTTCGGAATAATTTCGTCCAACCAAACTTTTGATTCATCGACAGATAAAGTATCCAAAAAAGCTTGTGATCTTGACTTCTTAACATTAACACTACATGATGTCGATCTCTTTCGCTTTCTCGACGGCATCGAGTAAAATAACACGCGAAATAATAATTTTCAATATAAACAAAATAGTAAGAGAATGATATAAGACAACACAAAACGGACAACCATACTAATAATACAAACAGAACAATGAAGGCTGTACCGCTCGACGTGCGCTCCGTCTAATTGATCCAAAATTAATTCATTTTCCAACAATTCGAATAAAGAACAATCAACACACAATTCACAAAACAAACGACCGCCATCAGCGTCACAACATCTCCATCTTTCATTTAACAAAACCATCACACCCACCTTCACATACAGTAAACGAACCACATACTCTTACTCCAACCGAAGAACCAAATCCATTCCCTAATTCCATCAATACCCAACAACCTGCGGCATCTGATTCTGCTTCACCTCCTGCTCGAGACCAATGTATCGTCCTGACGATAATCAGCATCGATGCGCTGCTCTCGATTTCGATTCACACTTTTTCCAAAATGATATCAATATTCATAATAAAATTTTATTATTGTTACTGATGATATATAATTAGATGATGTAGTCAGGGTATATGAACATAGCCTAGATATCTTGAGGGTGGGTGTGGGCGAAGGTATGACACTAGGCATGTAGCGAACCCGAACGTTCGGGTTCGGTCAGTTCGGGTTCGGGTTCGGTTCGGGTTCGGTTTTAGGGTTCGGGTTCGGGTTCGGGTTCGGTCTGAAGAGTTCGGGTTCGGGACCGAACGGTTCGGGTTCGGTCTGAAGAGTTCGGGTTCGGGACCGAACGGTTCGGGTTCGGGGTAGTATGCACCAACCTCCAACAATTTAAGCATTGAGATGATTTTTTTGACATGTGTGGTCACCGAACCCGAACAGTTCGGGTTCGGTTGATGTTTCATAATTTCTATTATTATGCTTCCACATATGTCAGAAAAGTCATTTCGATGCTTAAATTGTTAGAGTTCGGTCCAAACTACCCCGAACCCGAACCCGAACCCGAACTCTAAAACCGAACCCGAACCCGAACCCGAACCCTGAGACCGAACCCGAACGCGAACCCGAACCCGAACCGTTCGGTCCCGAACCCGAACCGTTCGGTCCCGAACCCGAACTACAGTTCGGGTTCGCTACATGCCTATATGACACTCAACTGTTATATCTATATTCTCAAGATGCAAATATTAATGTTGTTACAAATTCTTTTTTTTTTCGAAAAAATTCTTTTTCCAAACACTGAAGTTCCTCGTTATATCATTGATTTCATCTGTTATTTTTGATAATTTTGTTTACTTACTATTGTATCTACAAGTCGTATTGCTAGTGATAGCTACTTTATAAACTATCTTATGTTACAATTGTATATTTTCAAAGGAAAACAATGCTAAACGTTATAAAGAAATACTGAGCACAAAACAAAGAATAAAAAAAAATAAAAATAAAGAAAAGAAACGCTTATTTCCTGTCGCAAATTATGTATGTCCAAAGAAATAAAATCATTTGTTTTCACGCGTTTTGCCAGAGAAAAATGAAGTTTGATGGGAGAAATTTTGTACCAAATCAATAAATAAGGATATAAATAAAGAATATTTTAAGTTAAAATGATTCTCACTGCAGAAATAAAACATCAAAGTTGATTAAAGTAGGTAAGGGAAATAATTAGTAGAAATTCATATCTCAGGGAAACTTTTCAAAATCAATAAAATATGACCGTCGGAGAGTTATTGATAATCGTCATGGAAAAATTTTTTTTTTTTTTCATATATTTCCTCTCTTCAAGTATATAGATAATATAATATGTTTCGAGGATGGCTAAAAGAGAATCTTTTCTATTCTGATTATCTCTGGATATATTATTCATCTGTCACTTACTCACACTCTTATTCCTATAGTATTATTTTTCTTTTCATCAAGAGTATCAAAGTTAATAAACGCAAATTATCATATTCACATTTAATGAATTTCAGATTTTAATCAATGTTTTATTCTATCCTTAGTTATCTTGAAGAAGATTCCTTTGATATCAAATATAAAATCTCATTTTTCAC